ATTGAAAAAAATTGTTAAAATAACAGCGGACCATTATTTATAAGTCAAGTTAGTACCCACTCTTTTACCTTCCACTGTTTTAGGATAAGAGAAAAACATGAGGTTTGTGGTGTCCACTAGGAAATAGAACCAGATAATATGAAACAAAGTTCTCATGTTAAGACAGTCTATATTATGAGATATTCAAAGTACTTCCCAAACTTTTGTTTGACCTGCAGAGTTGGAGATGGCTTACCTCCCTATACCTTCAAGTTTGTTTCACAAAGCTTTGAAAAGTAAAACAATTTCATTTTCATATATAATAAAAAATTAATTTGAATAGCAAAATAACTGCTTTTGAATGTATCCATTCTAAAAATGAAACCTAAATCTGTTAAGAAAACTTTTCAAATGCTTTTTATTAAATTCTCCAGTAGTAGTTGAAAGAAATCTACTTTTATGAAAGATCTATTTATACCACTCATTTCTATTTCTGATTCCACATTTCACTTTGCAACCTGCAGACCTTCACTCGGTTTCTCAGATGGGGAGCCCCAGCCCATTTTTTGAGAAGTTGCTCAGAGTGGGACACACAAAAATATGGCTCCTCTGGCAAGTATTGCTGTCACTGTTGGACTACATTTTAATAGCTACTCCAATTCACACAACGAATCTCCCACAAGGATGGCAGGATGAGTGAACCTGGTTAGCTAGCTTTAGATGAGTACATCAGCATGATCAAACTCTGGAATAAAAGGTGATCAAGTCTAGGATAAAAATTAGGAAAAAGTTCTTTCACAGCCATAAATCTTCACAAGCCCTCTCTCTTATCATCATAAACCAGGGAAAGTAAGCGGGAGCAGGAAAGGTACACAGAACAGCCAACAGGAATACCACAAAATGCTGGTCAGAAAAACTTCCTGCAATGCCAGGAACTGGGTGCATCTGTCACTATTTTCTAGGAAAGAGCCCATCTTGGTGTTTTCCTACCCCAAATCTAAGCATAAACATTTAAGTTAGTGGGGGAAGCAGGGCTATGGTTTATAGAACCCAGTCAACTGGCCTTTCTAATACTCTCCCTACTCTTAATTCATGGAGAAGATCCTCTTACTCCCCCTGACAAGCTCAGAGAAACCATTGTTTGCTTAAAATGGTGACTTGGCAGCTAAGAGGTCAACTTTCTGGCTTGGAAAACTCTCAGGAAGCTGCATGTTTATAGGAATTATTTCATTTTAGTGCCCCATTAACCTGTCTCTCTTTTTATTTTTATGTTTTTATTGATTTCAGAGAAGGGAGGGGGAGATAAACATTGATGAGAGATAGATCCATCAGTTGTCTCTTGCATGCACCCTACTGGGGATTGAGCCCACAACCTGAGCATGTGCCCTGACCAGGAATTGAACTGGTGACCTCTTGGTGAGTGGGACGCTCAACCAACTGAACCACACTGGCCGGGCTAAACTGTCTCTTATTGCATCTACTAACTTCCTCTTCTGATTTGATAAGCATAAACTATGAAGATTTTTTCTCATATTCCCCCTCCTCAGTTCTGTGAATTGATTTTTTTTGTCTGTAATCACATCAACTTCTTTACTACTCTAAAACTTTGCTTTTTTTGAAGTGATGTGTTCTGTCAAATAGAGAAAAATAAAATACATTATTTGCCTACAGAGAATATACAGAATAGCAACAGGGGCTGAAAGTACAAAACACAGACACTGACATTAAGGTCATATAAAATATATAGAAGTACCCAACACTGACAATTTTTGTAAGAAGTTGTACATTTTGCTATTTCCCCACATTTTTTTCTTCTGTGGATCCTCTGGAGTTAAGATTGAATGTCCTCTGCAGTGTTTCTGAAATTCATTACAATTGGAACATACTGATGGAATTCATTTTCTGTCCAAAGCAACAAGTGCTATACATGAAAGGTTTCCTCACATATAATATTAATAAAGTTTATTTACAGTGTAAGCTTTCTGATGCTAAGGGCTGAAATGTGATTATAGGCTTTGCCATATTATCACATTCAAGAGGTTTCCTTCTGGAATGAATTCTCTGATGTACATAAGATATGAATTGTCTCACATAACAAACATATTAACCTCTCTGTACATATTTAGCATAGTTTCACTTTTATGCCTTTAATAAAATACTAAGTGCATTCAACAAGATGCCTCATACATCTCTATTCTCAGGCTTTCGCCTTGCCTGCCAGGCCAGAGTAGAAACAAATACCCCATGACTTGAAGAACTTTACTTCTTTTCCTGGCAAAGTTAAGGTATTGTTTTAAGAAGCCCTTCAAAAACTTCCAATAGGTCAACTTACATGCTACTGTTTAAACTATTAATAGGCTTAACCCAGTCAAGAACTCTGAATGACTATCCTGAACACTTATTAGATGTTGTAAGTGTTTTTGACCATAAGCCAATTACAATTTGCTTTGAGCAGCTGATGAATGCAATGCAAATGGTTTTAATCAACAGCTGTAGCCTGTTTTCTTTAGGAAACATCTTCAAGTAGCTTCTTCAAGGAGTGCATCTGCTGAAGATCTGAAGCAACCACAGTGGCTGGCCCACACAGTACAATGTCTCGAAAAATAGGCATTAAATGTGGGGGCACAGGTTATTTTAATTTTCATTAAAAAAAATGGCTGAGTTATGTCAGCATGTAGTTCTGGCTAATAAAAAAAGCCAATGAAGAACCAACCAAAGTTCATTCCCTCTTAAGAGTAGTCAGTGCTTTGATCAGTATCTGGAGGTAAGCAGCTCACTGCTTTCAGCTGCTTCCCAGCAGCAAGTCTTTGCTCAAAAGCACCAGCGCTTTTCTATGCAACCATCACTGTGGTTCATTGTGAAGAAAATCCTAGAAGCATTTCTTCTATTTTCACTTTACTATAAAACGTTCCTCAGGTATACGTTTCTGGAGTATCTTTTCTATTTTTCTTAAACTGAATGGATAGAAACATTCCTGTCACCAGCTGACTTCTTTGAAGTTTCCCAGGCAACACTGATGAAACTGCTTAGAGACTACAGAGAAACTGTGGTTGGTCCAAGGTATAGAGAGGCGAAAGAATTACTGCTATGCAGATTTTAGTTTGGTCTGGAGCTGAGGCCATAGCTGCCCCCACCTCATTGGCTCCCCATAAAACCATGCTGTCTCATGGGCTCGAGTTGCTGATTAGCAAAATGATGCGTCTTAGTTTTGTTTCTTGATGGAAAATCTCAATCTCTATTGGGGGTCTCCTGTTCCAAGGATAGTCTTCAGGTGTGTTCTTATTCTGTGTCTTAAGTTTCTGCAGAGCTTACAATCTTTTGCATGCTCTCATGAGCAGTCATCTTTACCTGAGTCCCTGATGACTACCTATGTAGTAGCCCCCGATACTTGGGTTTCTTGTATTGCATCTGAAGTCTCTGGCATTGGCTTCCAAGCAGCCAATTGCATCTTCTTGCACAGATAGAAAAGATCCAAATTTTATAACCCCACCTCAGTCTTTAGTGATGAGAAAGAGAAAAGACACTGCGTAGTACAACTCTGATACAACCAACCAAATCTTAGCAATTTGGTGAACTTCTCAGAGTAACTAACACACTTAGTAATGGCCAGCTAATGATGTCAAATGCTTTTGTGAAGTTTCTGGAAAGTGTGGGAGAAAATGCTTCCTACATCTTCCTTTTTCTGAAAAGCAACAAAAAAATACATAGTCTGAACTATTATTTAAAGTTACAAATGATTCAGAAAGTGCCCAAATCATCAGGTTGTTCAGCAGCTGACTGAAGAAAATTCTAAGATCTTTGTCATAAAAAGATGTCAAAAAATGGCCTTAGTAAGTTTTTGTCTTTTTCTTAAGATGAGATAATGGAGTCATTTCTGACATTCCATGGCATTTACTAATCCATGTTTAGAAAGTCTATGTAGGTGGCTAAATGTTGCCTTTCTTTTGTTTAGGACAAAAATAGCATAAGACCCTGGAGCTTTAGCATGCTTCAGACTCTGAATGTCCTCTTCAAAAGCTGGGCCAGGCTACCATATTTCAGGTACTCATGATTCACAGGGCTTTATCGTAAGTGCAAAAGTCCTGTTAGAAGTCAGGCATAATGAGTGCTCCTTATGTGTTCAGCACTGTGCCCAGTGCTGTAAGGATATAAATATATCCTTTGTCAAAGCATCTCTTTTGGGGGGTGATGAAAATTTTCATACATGAAACAATAAAAGATTACAAGACGGTATATAATCAAGTGCTAACTTGTGGAGAAATGCATTTCAGAGTGTGATTAGTGCTTTAGGGATTTCTTCCAGAAGGGAGAGAAGTATTTTGAATCATTGTTGCCATTTCAGTAGAATTTATCTCATAGATGAGGATAAAACCATCTACATTTGTGGCAGTCCTTTGGAACTGGAGACTGGTGCACATACCCTCTCTTTCAGGAAGAGATAGAAATCTTTGGTTTGATACTGATCAGCACAGTCCTAGATTTCTATAGCTTTGGTAGGCTACCAGTGTTCATATATATCTTATATATATAACTAGTTCAAGCAGCATGTCCCAATGTAGTTTTTAACTATCCCTCTTTTTTTGAGAAAGAAGGTACAGCAAGATGTTGGCCAACCAGGGCTTGTTTGTAGCAAGCAGCTTTTAACCTAAGTATCATTTTTAGAGAGCCAATTTTAATCTTTCGATTCTGTATCATGGTTGCTGAGAGTCCAATAGCGCCTTAAAGGTATCATTACTGAAAAGCGAGACATTTTGCTGTGTGCTTTTATCTCATAAGGAAATATCATGTAGCTTATCCATATGACTAGCTTTTCCCTATAGGGGCTGTATGGAAGAATTATATGCCCACAGACTATGCAAAGGTAGAACACTGCTAATCTAACTATAAGGATCCTTAAAAAGTGTGTGTGTGTGTGTTTAAATCTGTTGAGGATGTTTATTCCCTTCCATGAGCACACATCTCTGAAATAAATTTAGAAACAAAAGGGGGAAATGGCTTGTCAGCAAATTCTCACTTTACACACAGCTTTTCAGGAATGCTCCAAACGCATCAAGAGAAGCTGGACTGTACTCAGAGGCTCGCTCTCTGGTGTGGATTCTGTGATGCAGAGTGAGAGTCGAGCTCCGGGTGAAGGCCTTGCCACACTTAGTGCACTTATAGGGCTTTTCTCGGGTGTGAATTCGCCGATGCAAAATAAGGTATGAGTTTCGGTTGAAAGCTTTTCCACATTCGCTACATTCATAGGGTTTCTCCCCCGTGTGAATTCTCTGATGTTTTGTAAGGTCTGAGCTCTGGCTGAAGGCCTTCCCACACTCGTTACATTCATAAGGTTTCTCTCCAGAGTGAATTCGCTGATGCAGAATGAGATTTGAACTATGACTGAAGGCTTTGCCACACTCATTACATTCATGAGGTTTCTCTCCTGTGTGGATTCTCTGATGCAGGACAAGGTTTGAGTTCAGACTGAAGGCTTTCCCACATTCACTACATTCATAGGGCTTTTCTCCAGTGTGGATGATTTTATGGCGAATAAGGCTTGAACTCCTTGTGAAGCATTTACCACATTCATCACACCTGTGAGACTTTGTTCCTGTTGGAACTTCTTCAGTGGTGTTAAAGTTTGAACTCAGACTGAAGCTTCTTCCCAATCCTTTACCCTTCTCCCTGGGACCTCTCTCTCCTGTGGTTGTTTTTTTTTCCTTGGCTGTAGCTGGCCCTGAATCTTTCTTTTCTTTTCCAGTTTTCTCCTCAGAATTCTTCTGCTGCCTTTCTGCTGTTCTGCCCTGCTGTTCATGTTTTTCTCCAAAATCTTTCTGGATTCTTCCTCTTGTCTCCCTACGTGATGCTGAGTCTTTTGTGATTTCAGCCTTGGAGGTCGACTCCTCATTCTCATTCCTGCTTTCACAACCTGACACAATAAATAGAAAAAACAAATAACACCTTTTTCTTTTTAATCTATAGGTTAATCAAATGACACTGTTTTCCAGGAAGCTCCTACATACCTGCAAAATGACCCCACAGTATTAATCAAAGATAAAATAGAAGAAAAAAATATAGAAAACAGGGAATAGAATTGGGAAACAAGAGGGCAGGAAGAGTGGAAAGGACAAGAGGGAGTGTACAGAGAAGATGGGAATGAACAGATCTACTGGGGAGTGAACAGAGGGACAGAACCAGTTAAGGAAGAAGGGATGAAGAATTAAAGAACATAAGACATTAACAATTCACAGTTTTATTATTTGGTCACCTGATAATTAATTTGAAGAAACAAATATACATGGAAAAAAATCATGTTCTGTTTCTAATATAAGAATTTATAAAAAAAAAAAAAGAATTTATGAGCTTAAAAAGAGAATGGTCAGGTCTTTCCTAGAAAATAAGTGGTATTAGCAGAAATAAAGGAGTATCATTAACCATTTGAGTCCCAAGCAGCGCGATTGTGCTGCTGAGATTTTATGTCGAGAAAACCCAGCACATTTCGAACATTGTGGACAACTGACGGTGCGTTACCGATTGTCGAAGTCGCGAGCTCAGATTTACTGACGCAAGTACATCACACAGCTCCTTTTAATATAAATAGTACATTTTACAATAGGTAGAATGATACTATAATAATGCAATAATACATTACAAAATAAAAATTTTTATTTCAGCCGAAACCGGTTTGGCTCAGTTGATAGAGCGTCAGCCTGCGGACTGAAAGGTCCCAGGTTCGATTCCGGTCAAGGGCATGTACCTGGGTTTCGGGCACATCCCCAGTAGGAGATGTTTCTCTCTCATCAATGTTTCTAACTCTCTATCTCTCTCCCTTCCTCTCTGTAAAAAAAAAAAAATCAAAATTAATAAAATATATTAAAAAAATTTTTTTTATTTCATTATCTTCTCAATAATTTTTATCGAACAAAACTTGAAATATTTATAAATTTATAGTACGCATATGTAATAATACAGATATATTTTATAAAATAACGAATTACAAATTAACAATATTTTTGTGTTATGAACAAAAAATTTAAATGGAGAGTAACACTTATAATTTGTAACATCGGTGTTTATCAAAACATATTGGATGAACTCCTTTTTTACATTGCACACAAATTAAATGTGATCTTTTTATTGCATTTTTGGTGCTGCAGACTACGCATTGTCGCAAGTTGCGTTGTGGTAACTTTACTAAACCAAATGGTTTTTCCTTTACATAACTATGTGCTTGCTTTTCATTCATCCACTGACACTCAATTTCAAAAATAATACTGGACATAAAATCTAACCAAGATATTGCTTTACTCTTAACTGTTTCCTTGTAGATTATGTATGCATTTAAAACCATGCGGTTGATTATGTTAAAGGCTACCTTTTTCCAATATTTAACTGATCTTCGTTCATCGAGATAGGTATACAGCATTTTATCCGATTCATCGACACTGCCCATGAAGGCATTGTAAGATTGAATCATAGCGGGTTTTGTCGAACGTATTTCTCTGCCATGTCGATTTTTTGTTATAGTCACATCTTGCTCTTCTGCTTTCGTTGAAATTAATAATACAGGATTTTTTACATTTTTTTTTTCGCGATACGCACAGAACAATACTTCATTGTTTCGAAAATATTTAACCTCGTTTACATTAGTTTGTTTCAAGTTATCGGGAATACATTTCTTATTCCTTCTAATGGTCCCAGTTAAATAGGTATCCATAGAATATAAATATCTAGCTAATTCTACGCTAGTAAAAAAATTGTCGATAAAAAGGTGGTGCCCCTTATTCAAACAATTACTATCTTTCAGTAAATTTACCACAACATCATATCCAAGACCAAACTTTTTTCTATCACTACTAGTTGTTTCTTTTGCACCTTTATAGCAAGAAAACGCCAAACAATATTTTGAAACGGAATCACACAGCATCCAAAATTTTATTCCCCAACGATGATGCTTTTTATTCGGCAAGTATTGCATTATGCTAGAATGGCACAGCGTCCCAACTAACGACTCATCAATGGATAATTCTTTGTGTGGTTTATAATGTAGTTTGAATACTTTATTGGCGTGCTCAACAAGCGGCTGAAATTTTGCACAGGGATCGTATTTCTCGTGGCCAGGTGGAAAACATAAACGGTTATCAATTAAGTGAAAGTATTTCAAAATTTGTTGAAATCTATTTCGAGAGAACATTCTTCGAAACCACGGTATGTTACGTGAATTTTCGGACCAATACGAACACATAGTGTGTTTTCTAGTAATTCCCATTTCCAACAGCACCGCTGTAAATGCCTTCATCTCTAAAACGGTAACTGGAGTCCAAACCTCTGTTTCAAATGACTCTAATTCTCTAGGTAAATGTGTTGAATACTCCGCATATTTATTAGTTTCTTCAACTATGAGTGACCATAGTGTCGAATCAAAGAATAGTTCAAAGTATTCAATGGGTTTACTCTGGCTGGAGAAGTTACATCGCGAGCCAGATTCTTCGCTATGCTCTAGAGAATCACGTTGATTAGGAACCTCTTCAGCAACACGTGGACTGCTCAGTGGACATTGATGCGATAAATCACTATCACTATTCTCTGAGGAACTCAAAATGCGTTGTCTTTTGCGTTTCACAGGAACAATGTAGTCGTCATCGTCGTCAATAATATGATCACATGGATTTGTGATTATGCTCATAGAATTTCTTTTTCGATTCATTGTACCTTTTTGGGGATACACCAAATTTAGAAAAGTTAAACAGTAAATCTAGATTAATTTGATACTTACCTTTTGCGTTGCTTCGTCTAATCATTTTGAAATACACAATTATTAACAATGAAAACCACTTACGGAAGAATACGTCCGATCACTTTGCAAACTGCAATAAATGTGACGGAGCGATGAGAAAAAGACGAGAATCACATTACCTAACACATGCAAGAAGAGCTATTGCTCCGATTGGGATTCATCGATGTAAAAGAAACAAAGCGCTATCGCGCTGCTTGGTATTTCTCGACATAAAATAAAACAAGCGCTATCACGCTGTTTGGGTCTTTTCGTACTCATTTAGAGAAAGCGCGGTTGCGCTGTTTGGGATTCTTCGACAGTGTTTTTTCAATACCCCCTGGGACTCAAACGGTTAATAAAGGAAAGTGAAAATGTCTCCATTCTATGAAATTTTTTATCAACAAAGAGATGGTTAATGGGCAAAACAAGGAACTCTGAACTTGGCAGATTACAAGGACATTCAGACACAGGAAATAAGTTTCTCTCCATCAGGGAGAACAGCATAGAGCAGACAGAGATGAAGGTGAAGAAGTTGGTTGGGGCATTGGTAAACATAATTAAAACCTTCACTGAAAGAGAATAGCAGAGAAAATAAAAACAATTCCAGAGATACCCATGAAGGAGACACCAGAAGACGACAAAACTTTATTAATGCAGGGCTGATCCTCTCACTTTAGCAATCAGCATATGAGGACATTGGAATATTCTTATTGTAGACTGCTGTATTCATTTTGTTTTAAGTAGAGATTAAAAATTGTTCAATAAAGGTATATTTTATATATGTTTATATATATCCCAACTCTATTTTTTTATTTGGCCTTAAGAAACTTGTCCAAGAAGGTCTGTACTATCCCAGATAGGCCCTTGAATGCAACTCCTGAGAGAGCCGAATAATATTTAACTCCTGACTTTAGTGAAGAAATTGCCATAAATACTAAACCAATCATAAGAAAGAGGAAATTGACTACTTCTTTTGAATTCCAAGCCAAGGTCCTCAACTATCTGGATTGAACCCAATTTTTAAAAAAAGTTATCTTGGAATAGGTAATATCCAGCTTATAAACATGGATCAGTTCTTTGCCTTAATTTTCACCTAATCCAAAGAGTAAGTACCAAGAAACCATAAACCCATTTTTCCTGATGGTTCAAAGCAAAAGTTTAGGTTTCATAGTAACATCCTTTCTTTATGAAGTTTCCCCTCATTTGCCCTCCCCGGGTAGAAGCCTCACGTGGACTTCCTATGATAGGAATTATTTGAGAGCTCTTCTGCAGTCCTGTCTCTCAGCAGAGACAAATGGGAATGTATGTCAACTGTGTCTCTTTGTCTTATATTGATTGATGCCTTAGAACTTCTTTGTCTTTACTATACAGTAGGAGTGGGGAACGTCCAACCCATGGGCCATCTAAGGCCTAGAAAATCATTTGATCTGGCCCTGCCAAGGCATTAGGGGTGAGTTAATGAAATGTTTGACCAAATATAGCAAGCTAATTTTTAAGTTGGTAATTTTGTATGGCCTGCAAATGATGTTATACACATCCAAATTGCCCTTGGCAGAAAAACAGTTCCCCACCCCTGCTATTTACCTAGGGACCAGAGCTCTTCATAGATTACTATTAGGTTTGGAAATTGGGAACTGTGATCAAAAGGGAGGTATAGATGTAAGTTCATAGAATTATGCAAAGCTGTCACAGAGCATGGTTCACAGGATAAAGAAGACAGAAAGCCCACAGAAGGATGCTTGCTTGGTAGGTTTAGGAACATGGTCCCAAGTTAGGATTAGAACCAATGATCAGTTCTCACTTGGCCCTCTACACTAGAAAATACAGATGCTCCCCCAATAGAGGTACCTAAGTTGTAACCCACAGGGAAGTGGAGCAAAATCCTCCCAGGTAACAAAGTGATGGAAGAAGTGAGGACTCAGAACACAAGAATATTTCTGATTTCAAACAGCAAAAATGACGTAGAGGTAAAAAATAAATAAATAAATAAAATCTACTTGTAATCAGGGAGTCAGTCACAGTACCAGGCTTTGGAGTTAAATGAACATAAATGTTCCCATTCTCTACCTGGTCTGAAGAAATGGGCTCAGTAGTCTCTAAATCCTTGTCAACACTCAATTGAACATGTCAGAGATCCCACAACTAACAAAGAGAGGCAAAACAATCTTATCAGACAATAATCCTGCATTATTCTTACCCTGGGAAAACACGTTCCCATAATTCTCCTGCCTGTTGTCCCTACTGAGATTCCTCCGAGCCAGGTTCTGACATCCCCACTCCTCCAGGATGAGGGACACAGCCATGTCCTCGATCTTCACCATCGCCTGAAATATGAGATCCCCACACTCAGTTCCCCCAAAGCTCAGGGATAAACCCACTACCCAAACCTGGAGTTAGGGACAGAATTGACTACAAACCTACAGGGTGCTGGGAAAGAAAAGGTGACGGTACCAAGCTCTGGTGGATTGAGGGGTGAGTGGGTCTACTCTGTGGGCAGGACATCAAGAATTGAGTGTCCTGGGTGGAGACTGTTATAAAGATCTCCAGGAAGAGAGGCAGATATGAGGGTCTCAGAGGAGGGCAGAGGGGCCCATGGCTCACCTGGGAATCTGCCGTGAATAGTGCAGAAGCCATTGTTTGGTCTCTGGGACTCCCCTCGTGATGAGGGGCAGGAACGTGGGTGGCAGGGAGAGCTGAGGGAGGAAAAAGGAGCTATGAGTAAAACCAGCTCTGCTCTGGGCCCAGGGCTCTCTTTTTCCTGCACCAGCATGTTCAATGTTCAACTACAGAATAGAGAATGAAAAAAGAAAAAGCATGACTTCTGTTTTCTCAAGACTTCTACTCTTAAGCTGGATAAGGAATAATGTAAAAGGAACCTTAAAATCACTTGGTCCAACCCTATGTTTTAAAGAGGGGAAACTGAGGCCCTGAGAGGTCAAATAACTTGTCTAAAGTCACACAATTATGAATGTCAGAGCCAGATCTAGAATACAGGTTCCTACTCTCAGCTACAGAACTGAATAACATTTAGCCCATGATTCAAGCCTAGCTCAAAATTTCATTTTCTCAGCTGGCCGGCATGGCTCAGTGGTTGAGTGTCAACTTATGAACCAGGAGGTCACGGTTCAATTTCCAGTCAGGGCACATGTCTGGGTTGTGGGCTTGGTGCCCAGTATGGGTGGCAGGAGGCAACTGATCAACGATTCTCTCTCATCATTGACGTTTTTCTTTTCTTTTTAATATATTTTTATTAATTTGAGAGGAAGGGAGAAGGGGAGAGAGATAAAAACTTCATTGATGAGAGAGAATCACTGATTGGCTGCTTCCTGCACACCCCACACTGGGGATGGAGCCTGCAACCTGGGCATGTGCCCTGACCGGGAATCGAACCCAGGACCCTTCAGTCTGTAGGCTGACGCTCTATCCATTGAGCCACACCGGCTGGACATCATTGATGTTTCTAGCTCTCTCTCCCTCTCTCTCCCTCTCCTTTCCTCTCTGAACTATTAAATAATTTTATTTTTATTTTTTTTTATTTTCTCCAGTCCAAGGAACAAATAACAGGACATCAGAATCCCATTTAGTTGTAAAAAAAACACAAGGTAGGAAGGGGCTTCCTACTTCTGGGTAAGTTTTGCCATTTTTTGTCCCTCTACATTTTTCCCTCACTTATCCAGTTTTTTGATAAAATATAGATATGGTTCAAACGTTAATGAGACATTTATAAGTATATAAAGGTAGGGGTTGACATTCATCTAATAAAAGATATTTAATATGTCATATACTAACTGCAATGGGTAAAAACAATTAGAAAAATTTTAAACTGCAATATTAAAATCCTCCCTTGCCAAGTAATATTAGAGACATGAATTTGAATTATTAAACTTGTTTTCAGGAGGTACAATAATAAAATAAGCTAAAGCAAAATGTATGAAAGATTAAATAACTAGCACTATAGCCTTCCAGGAGCTAGGAAACACTCTGGAAGATGAAGAGCACAAAGAAGAAATTGAGAATAAATGTATATGTCTCAATTTGTTAAAGAACTATTTACTAAATAACAACTGGATGTACCAGGGTCTCTAACACTGTTGCTCTGGTAGCCTGAAGGTCTGATTTGGAACTTAAAATCATGACTACCCTCTTCAATTTCCTGATTTCGCCCCCTGTATAGTGTGGAGACCTTATATACCCTAGAACAGTGGTCAGCAAACTCATTAGTCAACAGAGCCAAATATCAACAGTACAACAATTGAAATTTCTTTTGAGAGCCAAATTTTTTAAACTTAAACTATATAGGTAGGTACATTGTTATTAACTTAATTAGGGTACTCCTAAGGTTTAGGAAGAGCCACACTCAAGGGGCCAAAGAGCCGCATGTGGCTCGCTAGTCGCAGTTTGCCGACCATGGCCCTAGAAGGTCATAGGTGGACAGTGGTGGGTTAAATATCACAGTGTATTGGTTTACACGGACTTCTCCAGCATATGAATGCTGGCTACCCTCCAGAATGCATAAAAAAAATTATTTAAGCTCTAATAATTAAAATAATTTTTATTTATATGACCCTGAAATGATGCTTTTCCTCATGGTTCTCCACGAAAAATAAATGTTTTCCATCTTTTCCTATTGTTTGAAAATTCTGAAAGTAACCTAGAAAGAGTAATGTATACAATGTTTTTATACATTTTTTAAATGAAATGAATTTTAAAATTGACTCTTTATAAAATAATTTATGATGTACTATAGTGTTTCAAAACCAGGCTGAAAGTATACTATCTCTTCCCAGCACTTTCCAGTAAGAAAAAAATCTGTTAGACATCAGAATGCTAACAATTCAAGAAGCAACACAATATCTACCCAAGTTCATTATGCACATTTCATCTACTTCCCTAGTAACATTATTTAACTCCTGGGATTAGTCCGTAAATTGTATTTCCCCTAATATTTAGTAATAACAATAATGTATAATAATAAAAACATGCTTCTTTATTACAGGCACTTAGCAACACAGAGAGGACACAGCCATCCTGAATAGTTTGCTTCTTTTCCCCATAAGAAACCTAGTTTCTTACCCCGTGATTGTAAGAGGCGGGGTTTCCGAGATGAATGCTTGAAATGGGACTGGGTGGCCTCATGATGAAGGTCAAAGCTCGAGGACTCCTGAATAGGATCCAGAGGCACCATCCCCCTTGCGAGCATCTCAGGTCCATGCACTTGACCTGGGACCTGAGAACAAACAGGTTAGGTCTGAGGGTAAATCACTTTTTAATGAATACTTTAAATGAGCAAAAAGAACATAAGTATACCAGGATGTAAGGGAGATAAGGCCAGAATACTTTTTAATATTCAAGCAAAACAAGGAGAATAACCACTACAGACTACTAAACAAGCTTATATTAGTAGCCTGTATATTAGTTTATTTTATATATATGACATGATATATATACCTATTATATATATTATATAAGTAGTATCTTATCCTATATAATAAAAGGATAATATGCAAACTGACCCTAACAGCAGAACGACTGGGAATGACTGGTCACTATGACACACACTGACCACCAGGGGGCAGACGCTCAATGCAGGAGCTGCCCCCTGGTGGTCAATGTGCTCCCACAGGGGGAGCTCTGCTCAGCCACAAGCCAGGCTGACGGCTGCCAATACAGCGGTGGTGGCGGGAGCCTCTCCCGCCTCCTCAGCAGCGCTAAGGATGTCCGACTGCAGCTTAGGTCTGCTCCCTGCTGGCAAGTGGACATCCCCTGAGGGCTGCCAGGCTGCCAGAGGGATGTCTGACTGCCAGCTTGGGCCCAATCCCCCAGGGAGCGGCCCTAAGCCAGCAGGTCGACATCCTCCGAGGGGTCGCAGACTGCAAGAGGGCATAGGCAGAGCTGAGGGACCCCCCCAAGTGCACAAATTTTTGTGCACTGGGCCTCTAGTCTACACTAATAAAAGAGAAACATGGTAATTAGCGTACGACCGCTACCCTTCCCATTGGCTAATCAGCATATCCTTATGCAAATTAACTGTCAGCCAAGATGGCGGCTGGCAGCCAGGCAGCTGGAAGCGAACATGAGGCTTGCTTGCTCCAGGGACTGCAGACTGCAACGTTCCCCGCCTGACTTGCCGGCCTCTGAGCTACAACTCTAAGCAACTATGTAACAAATATAGAAGCTAAACAAAACACCAGAAACCAGCTTTCAGCCAGCCGGGATCTCAGAGCTAGAGTTATACATTGTTTCGATTATAGCAGCGGAAGCCTCAGAGCTAGAGCCAGAGCTAAAGCTGGCACAGAATAAAAAAAAAAAAAAGAAAACAAGGAGCGGTTGGGAGCCTCAGTCAATTGCCAGCCTGAAAGCAGCCCTCAGCTCCTCACCCAGACTGGCCAGGCACCCCAGTGGGGACCCCCACCCTGATCCAGGACACCCTTCAGGGCAAACCAGCCGGCCCCCAGGCCTCTATCCTATATAGTAAAAGGGTAATATGCCTCCCAGCACCGGGATCAGCGGAGCCGCGAGGCCTCCTGGCACCGGATCAGCGTGACAGGGGGCAGCGCCCAAACCCCCTGATCGCCCTGCGGCTCTGTGTGTTACAGGGTGTGGCGCCCCAACCCCCCCGCTCCCCACAGGCCCTGCTCTGTGTGTGACGGGGTAGAGCCATAACCTCTCCATCGGCCCTGCCCTGAGTGTGTCAGGGTGCAGCGCCCCAACCCCCTGATCAGCCCTGCTCTGTGGGTGATAGAGGGTGGCGCCCCAACCCCCCCCTACACGGGCCCTGCTCTGTGTGTTACAGGGTAGAGCCATAACCTCCCCATCGGCCCTGCCCTGAGTGTGACAGTGGCGGCACCCCAACCCCCTGATCCGCCCTGCTGTGTGTGTGACAGGGTATGGAGCCCCAACCCCCCTGATCGGCCCTGCTCTGTGTGTGACAGGGGGCAGTGCCCCAACCCCCTGATTGGCCCTGCTCTGTGTGTCACAGGGGGTGGCCCTGCAACCTCCCCATCGACCCTGCCTTGAGTGTGATAGGGGGCGATGCCCCAACCCCCCAATCAGCCCTACCCTGAGCGTGACTGAGGGTGGCATCGCAACCTCCCAATCCGCCCTGCTCTGTGCATGACAGGGGGCGGCGCCCCAACTCCCCAATCGGCCCTGCTCTGAGCCCGACCAGGGGCTGCACCTAGGGATTGGGCCTGCCCTCTGCCACCCAGGAGCAGGCCTAAGCCAGCAGGTCGTTATCTCCTGAGGGGGCCCAGACTGCGAGAGGGCACAAGCCGGGCTGAGGGACCCCCTCCTTCCCCCCCGAGTGCACAAATTTTTGTGCACCGGGCCTCTAGTCTATTATATAAAAGCCTATAGTTATCACGCCATCATGCCATAATGACCGATCAGTAGGAGCCTGTGTGTGCGGGTGGGAGGGGCTGCATGTGTGGCGAGGCGTGCCCCAGGTGGGCGGGGACTTGACTCTGGAGGACTTGACCAGAGGCGCGGGTGGGGTTCTGGGTCCCATGGGGAGGCGGATGGGTTTCTGAGTTCTGCCTCCCGCAGCAGCGGCCGCAGGACTCTTTCTGGGTCCCGCCGAGCAGCGGGACTCTGGGTCCTGGGTCTCATGCAATTTCGCACGCTGGGCCCCTAGTATATTAACACTAATACTAGTCTAATACTAAGACTACTACTATTAGCTTTAAATCAGTAACTTTCTCTTTGCTCCAGTCTCAAAGTCCATGTGTTCCTCACACCTAAGTTTTACCTCTTCTCACCTGCTGTCCTGATAAATCAAGCTCCAAATCTTCCAGAAGGGTCACAGCCTCCTCCCCACTATCGGGACGGTATTCCTGCAGCCAGGCTTGGAGCTCCTTGGGCAGGATGGAAAGAAACTGCTCTAGCACCAGCAGCTCCAGAATCTGCTCCTTGGTGTTTATCTCTGGTCGAAGCCACTGATGACAAAGTTCCTTCAGTCGACTCAGAGCCTCTCGAGGCCCAAAAGTGTTCTGATAACAGAAGTGCCTGAAACGTTGGCGGAAGATCTCTGGGTCAGGAGGAGGAGTCTCCTGCAGGCTGGAATCCTGCCCCCACATGTGTTCTTCCTCATCTTCCTCTTCTACTTTCACTATTACGATACCATCCTTCTCTTGGGCAGCCTGGGGGGACAGACCAGTAGCTTCCCTTGATTCAGCAGTCATCATTCAGGCTCAGAGAACTGACTTGATCCAAATAAAGTCTGTCCTTTCTGTCCTTGAAAATGTTCTCTGATATCTGTTTCTGTATGATTCCTGAAGTATTAAAAAAAGTGATTAGTATCTTTATGAAAAGTGGCCTGTGCTACTAACACTTCATGCAAGGCACGAAAAAAGCCTCCAGAGCCACACTGTTTTGACTACCACTTTATACATTAAGATTTGCCTCCAATGGGCAAATTCCACCCTAAGCATCTTATCTCCAGGAGAACAGCAGGTTAGGACATCATACCTTTACAGTGCTTAACCCAGTGAGAGCTGAATGTCAACAGGGTACAGGCAAGAGACTTCAAGCAGTACACACATAATCTTTTTTCATTTTTTATTTTTGTTGATTTCAGAGAGGAAGGGAGAGGGAGATAGAAACATCAATGATGAGAGAGAATCACTGATTGGCTGCCTCCTGCATGCCCACACTAGGGATCGAGCCCACAACCCAGGCATGCACCCTGACCGGAAATTGAACTGTGACCTCCTGGTTCAACCACTGAGCCATGCTGGCTGGGCCACACACAGTCTTATTTCATCCCACAGCAATCCTACCAGGTAGGAACAACTGCTAGTACCATTTACAGATGACATGGCTCAGGCTCAGATAATTTAACTAATTTGCTCAGCAGTAGCTACCTACCTAGTGGAGTCAACAGTCACACCAAATCCGAAGCCCCAGAATTGCTAATCCACCATCCAACTGTTTCTATTGTTTTTTGGGGGGTACCGTGTGGTCATTCTACAGGGAAGAGTGGGAGCCTTCGTCCTCCAACACAGAGGGCTGTTAAGGTGCCCTCATTTACTTGCTCACTTTTAGATATTGTGATTTTTCCCAGTTTACCTGACATCAGTCCATAGAATAATGGATTATTTTACCTAGCTTAAAAGAGACAAGCATGGGGACTTGGGAAGTGTGTGAAGGGGTCAAACGGTACAAAGTTCTGGTTATAAATTAAATAACCAGAACTGGGGGTGTAATGTACAGCATGGTGACTACAGTTAGTAATACTGTATTGCATATTTGAAAGTTGCTGAGAGTAGATCTTAAAAATCCTCATTACAATAAAATTTTTGTTTAACTATGGTGAACAGATGTTAACGAGACTTACTGTGGTGGTCATTTCACAATAAATACAAATACTGAGTCTTTATGTTGTACATTTGAAACTAATATGATGTTATATGTCAATTATATCTCAAAAAAGAGAGAAGCAGCTTTAAAGGTTCTTACAGAGAAACTACAATTATGAGAAATACTAATGATGCAAACACACATAAACAAGAAAATGGCACAGCTGAAGTTTCTATTTAGAGCAAGGTTTTACTCAGCTAGATGAGGAGGTAAAAACCAATGTCGATCTAAATCAAACAAGGAGTTAACCAATCAGTGAGAAAACAGCTGCTTAAAAAAAAGGGTATAAGGAAAGAACTACTACGAGGACAGATGTATGCTGGAAAACATACATTGTTATGTAATTTTAACAGCCATAAATGACTAATTATCCTTATTACCTAGTCATTTAAAAAACTTGGAAATATTTTCTAATCTGTTTAAAAATGTCCCAAATGAGGAATTTTAGTAGGTCTTAAACCTGCTTGTTAAAAATATAAAAAAACCTTTGATTAGTTTGTAGGAACAGATGATTTAAGGTCATGGAAAATGGAAAAGTACTAGCTGAATTTCAACAACAAAAATTTAGCATGGTTGGTGGGCATATTACTAAACAGTCAGTTGACAATATGTTCCTTCCATCTGAATTGACAAATCTTTGTGAAGTATCTTTTTCACCTCTACAACCATCATAAGTAAGCATCAAACTCAAGTTTTAGAGACAGCATCCAATTTCTGTATCACAATTATTTAAGTCAAGAGTTGAAAACTAATGAAGGATTTTAAATTACATGGCTCTCATTAAAAAATTATTAGTAATTTTGGTAGCAAAGGTACATCTAAAGCGCAAGTTATTTTTAAAGAGCACTATTTAATGTATTTTTAATTATACAAAATATTGGTGTAATAGTACACGTATATAATTTTTAGTTTTTAATTGGTAGGAATGTGTGATCATAAAAGTTTGGAGATGACTGCTCTAATCACAAAGAACATGATTTTAATCCGAGATCACAAGATTAGTGTTTCTCATTTTTTTGTCCTTAATGAAAAACAGAAATCCTTATTAAACTAGCAGTCTATAATAACAATAAAGAATATTACAAGAAGAAGAAAAAAGAATATTACATTAAAAAAAGGCTTTCTAGCTCTAACCGGTTTGGCTCAGTGGATAGAGCGTCAGCCTGCGGACTCAAGGGTCCCGGGTTCGATTCCGGTCAAGGGCATGTACCTTGGTTGTGGGCCTACTTATCATCAGATCTAAGCTAAAATGCCCAGTGGGGGGTGTGCAGGAGGCAGCTGATTGATGTTTCTCTCTCATTGATGTTTCTAACTCTCTATCCCTCTCCCTTCCTCTCTGTAAAAAATCAATAAAATATATATTTTTAAAAAAGGCTTTCTATTTAAAGGAAGTGGGGGAACTAAGTCATTTCTCCAATGACATTAAACTAGTAAAAAGTCCTATTGTAAACCTTCCCTTCTTCTAGCCCTTCCCTTTAATACCTTCAGACCTGTTCTGTACCTCACCCTCCTTGCTGTAGTAAATATTTTGTTTTTCAACTTCGGAGCAGTTTTCCCAATAAAGTCCTTAGAGCTATAATTACTCAGTTTCCGAAACATTTCTGCCTATCCGCAATATTCAAGGTGTCCTATTAAACTGAGGAGAATAGAAGGATGAGAAGCACTAGTCCTCTTTTTACACAAATAATTACAGTACAAAGTAGAATGTGCTAACTGTTCTAAGGAGGTTTCAGCAGGAGTGCAATTGAGCCCTGAGAAGTAACTTACCTGATGCATTAATAAGGCAGCTTCCAGGAAGAGGCCCACCCCCCTGGGAGCTGGGGGCATCAGAATAGCCAAGACCCCAAAAGACTGCTATAGGGAAAGGCAGAGAGTAAGTAGTTCAAGAGATTATCCCTTTGGCTAGCTTAACCCAATTGGAGGATAAAGAATTCCTATAAGTCTTAGTTTCTTTCTTTTTATTCTGAAAAGTCAAAAGAAAGAATATCTTCCTGCTATATATCTCTTACAATTATTTTCCACCATCCTAATTCAAGCTCTATATCTCCTACCTAGTCTAGTGCCATAGCCCCATAGTTTCTCTAGCTTCAATTTCTCCCTGTTCCAATCTGAACATACCAAGACCAACACAGTACTGCCAGAGTATGCTTCTGATCATTACCTCCTTCCCCTCAAATACACCACACTGTACTTTTCTATCTTACCTTACTACTTTTCTTAGTAGTGATCCCCTATATTTCAGCCTCTTTGGCCCATTAATGTCCCCTAAGCATAGGTGTGATTTTTAATTTCCTACCATATCAACTTTATTGGTCAAATTTTTATGCACCTTGCAAGTCCAAATTAAATATCTTCCTCCTTTGAACATCCTTAGTACTTTCTTTGTTATTACTCAAGGCACTTACTTATTTTCTCCTTGTATTATCATTATTGGGTTGCAGTTCCTATCTCCACTTCCCAACTAAAATTTAAGCTCCTCAGGAGAGGGAGTCTTGTCTTCTTTGTACTCATCTCCTCACGCACCTGGCAGAGTTGAATTCTGTTAAGCTGAATAGACGAAATAAGAACTACTCAAGCTATTACAGCTCCTCCTGCCATCTTCATATTGTCTTTAGTGGCAATTATGATCATATATTCTACTAATATCTCAATCACTCGGGCTCAGAATCTCACCTTGCTTGACTCCTCTCTTCTTACATGCATTCAGTCTCCAAGCACCAGGGGAAGCAATTGTTGTTCACTTATTTTCTAACTAGTTCCATGAAATCCAGCGTCCTCTCTTTGGTTCACTGACTTCATTTTCTCCCAATGATTCCTCCACCTCCTACCCTCTGGATTATTCTTCCTAAAACTTATAGCCTAGCAGTCAACAACTTCCAGTACCTGATCCGTTTCCCCTTAAGCTTCATTTCCTAACCATTTCTCCCCCTCTGCATGAAACTTTTCCGTCTAGCAAAATGAGTTTATTCAGTCTTTCCTAAATATGCCTTGTAATTTGATTGCCATCCTCTCCTCACATCATACTCAATGCCTACTTATCATCAGATCTAAGCTAAAATGCCCTTTCCCCTCATCGCTGTCCAATTCAAGAAGCCACTAGTAGGCGTAATAGTAAGAGCCAATATTTATTGAGTGCTTTCTAGGTACTAGGTATTATATTAAGCATTTCACACAATCTTAGGAGCTGGGTACAATTATCATCTCATTTTATAATGACAAAATTAAGGTTTACTGCTGTTTTTTAAAAATATATATTTTATTGATTTCAGAGAGCAAAGGAGAGAGGGAGAGAGAGACACTGAGAAACATCAATGAGAATCATTGATCAGCTGCCTCCTGCATGCTCCCTACTGGGGATCGAGCCTGCAACCCGGGCATGTGCCCTGATCGAGAATCAAACCGTAACCTCCTGGTTTATAGGTCCATGCTCAACCACTGCCATGCTGGCCGGGCAACTACTGTTAAATAACATACCCAAGGTCACACAGCAATTGGAAAGGGAGAACCAGGATTTGAAATTAGGTCTGTGGGACTCCTCAGTTCAAACTCTAACCATCAGCCAGTTTGGCTCAGTGGATAGAGCATTGGCCTGCTGACTGATGGGTCCCAAGTTCGATTCTGGTCAAGGGCACATGCCTTAGTGTGGGCTCGATCCCCAGTAGGGAGCATGCAGGAGGCAACTGATCAATGACTCTCTGTTTCTATCTCTCTCTACTCTGAAATCAATACAAATGTATATAAAAACAAATCAACTCTAATCATCATACCAAACTCACTCTGTCCCAACATGGGGTGAGGAAGGGCTTCTGTGCACATACAGATTCTGAAGGCGCCTATGAAGGATGACCACTCAGGAATGGGCTTCGTTTGATACCCACAGTTCTCACTAGAGAGCTGTGCAACTAAGGAGACACCGAATATGTAAATGGGAATTAGCTAAAATCAAGTGGGCAGGGCCTTCAACAGGGTAACTGAGCAGAACTAGCCTAGCAATCAGCAATCTTTTTATGAAAATTCTATACTGTCTTAGCCATAATAAGAATAAAGGAAAGGAACCTTGATTTGTATTCACACCTGGGCCAGAGTTTTAAAGAGTAGGATAGTCTGAGTCAGTGGGACTTAACGGGAAGATACTCTGAAGAAGTGAGAACTAAAGGGACAGACATGAGGGCATAGGCACATTCCCTCTTCCCCCAATTTCAACAGTTCCTCTCCCCTGTCTCCCACTCTGGGCAAGAGAAAAGTCACAACAGCAGAAGGGCTGGGTTTTATTTTAGTTTTCCCAGATGATGTGAGCACACAGCTTTTCTCCTCTAAACTACCTGGCGCTGTTTTTATTTCTGTAATTTTCCACGCCTTCCGTCCTCAACTGGACTATTGTTAAGGGTAGGCTTCTTTGTACCTATTAGACCACTTAGTAAGATTCCTTGCAAGCATTAGTTTTTTAAAAAAATACTTCATTGAATTGACATTACTTTTTTTTTTTGCCCATTCATACACAATTCAATGTTATCCTCAAATTGGCTACTTGGAAGTTTCATGAAGTTGCTCTACCACTTACCAGCTGGTGATTTTAAGCAAATTAATCTATGCGTGTTTCTTCACTTGTATAGTGGGGATAAACAGTATTTGCTTCATAGAGTTGTGAGGATTAAATGAGTTAACATATGTAAAGCACTTAAAAGAGTGTCTGGCATTTAGTAGACACTAGAGAAGTATTTTAACTTTTTCCAATAAACTTAAGAGATGTAATTTATACTTCCCAATTTTCAGCCTACTTAAAAGATTAAGCAATGGGAGAAATCCCATAGTGAAAGCAGTACAGGTTGAAACACCTGAATTCCAGTCTCTCACAAATAAGTTACGCGTCCCTGAGTTATTTCATCTCTGGCATTCAGTATCCTTATCTGTTAAATTGGGGGAAGATGGGAACTGGGAGGAGAATACTACCTCTGGGGTCCGTCTGAGCTGAAGAGCATTCTGACATTCTATCCGATTTAGATAAGATTACCCCCAGCAACTAGTTCTCATCAAGGATAAATACAAACGATTTTCTTACAAAAAGGGCTTGGAGTTACAAGTTCACTTTATTCCACAGGTTATTTTTTAAACAGGCCATTATTTTTTTTCAGGGTGTATTGTAGTCGTCAACGTTTAAACAAACTGCCCTCCTCTCATTTTTCAAAACAGAGCTATAAACCGTTTAAAATATAAAAAAGGTACCTTTCAAAGACAGCTAGCTACACAAAGAACAGTGATACTACCCCTGGATGAAAAGGTAAGATTTAACACTGTGTAGTTAGATGCAATATAAAGTTAGAAAAAAATCTAAATGCTTAAATCAAGTAGAGAATAAGCAAAAGCCTATGATATTAAGTAGCTAGTTTGTATTTTAAGATTGGTGAAAACTGCCTGAAATAATGAACAAGAATATTGCATAGCAATTCAGAGTCAATACAACTTGGAAAAAACCTCCTGGAGCACATTGTCCTTACGGTTCCCTATGTAATGAAGCTATTTCATGTGGCCAGCACATACAGTCACAGAGCTTTGTTGATCGGGTTACAATTAATTCTCCACAATTCAACAAGTATTTATTGACCACCTCCAAATCTGCCTAGCACTGGCCTGCACAAGAAATGCTTTCTTTGGTCTCAGGCCATGTAACAGCCACTCTCTGTAATGACAGTGTGGTATTGTGTACTGGAGGCACTGCAGGGAGGGAAGGAGAAGGGAGAGCGCAGTCAGGGTGAATTGTCGCTGAAATTTTTCAATTACATCGACTACATGAAATTCCAAAATTGGATCTTTTAAGAAAACCTAGTTAATTTTGTTAATGACAAAACTGAGAGTTGGCGCAATGTCTTATCCAAGGTCACTCAGGTAATCAGTCTTCTAATGACACGGTGAAATTTCCACCAATTCTCTTCACTCTCACTCACGCCAAGTCAAGCAGAGTAGCTTCCCAGAACCGAAAAATACACCCAATCTTCCTGACAGCTGATTTCTAAAGCCACCAAAATACTCCATAAGGCTGGAAGGAGCGGGATGTCTATCACCTCTCCCACAGCCGAGTCACTTCTTCACCCCCTGGACTAAGCTCCAGCTACTCTGTAACCACCGATCAGGGAGGGATGGCGTGAGGAGCGGTGATCTGGAGACATGAAGGCTGCACTTCAAAACGTGCCCATGTCTCGCCTGCCGCATTTCCCCCTGAAGGTCCTGAAAAAAAATAAATCTCACTGGACTCAAAGCAAATGATGACGAAGGGAGAGCAGGAAAATCAGACTGGAGTCGCGGGTTCGCCCGCAACCCTGTTCTCCGAAACGTCAAACCACCACGTAGACACGGTGGGCGAGGGGCCCCGAAAGGGTCCGCGGCCGGCTTCTCCCCAGTCCCCGAGCTCCCCTGGCCACTGGGGTCTCGCCCCCTCCCCGCCTGGACCCGAGGGGAGGGCGGGCTCCTGGGGACGGCACATCCTAAGGCCGGGCCTGGGGAGGGGACGGGAACTCTTTACATTCCGGCAGGGCCGCCTGGAGGGGACCCCGGGCCGCAGCGGCGGAGCCCACCCTCACGCACACCCCCCTGCGGCCCCGCCCGCCCTCCGCAGAGGCCGGCCCAAGTCTCACCGTGAGCCCCGGGAGCGGCCTTGGGGCGCTGGGAGAGAAAGGGGAGCGGACTCCGGGGCTCAGACCGGCCGAAGGGCGCTGCACAAGGAGCTAGGCCCTCCCGACGCCTCGACACAGACACAATGAGTCACAAAGGCCGGAAGTGTGTCAGCACCTCGTCTTCCGGGATTGCGCTGAGCTTCCGGGTCCTCTCTAGGAGCGCGGGAGGATTTTGCTACTTGGTTCCCTGGGTAGCTGGGCTCCACGCCGGTTCTCCGATGGGCGATCAAGCCTCCAGCTTGGAGTTTCCTGCGGTCAGCTCGTGCGCCCCGAGTGAAAGCTGGGGACCGACGAGAAGGGGGTCCAAGCTTTATGACATATAAACAGACTGTTCAGCTCAGATGCCAATTCATATGAAAATTTGGTTTCTCCTCTCTTCCATCTCAAGTAGTCCTTGTAATAATTGGTTATTATCAAGCATTAATTATATGTCTGTGGCAGAGGAACTGAAACAAGGGTGTAGACAGGAGAAGATCAAAGTGAAGCCGGGGGTGGCTGGTTTCACAAAGCTGCCGTGGTAGCTTCTCGTGGCCCCAGGAGATGTCTGCCAATTAAGTGGTTGGTATTTTCAAATACCTGGCGGGTGGACAAAGGTCTTTCCACAACCAAGTTAGTTAGAAGGTTCTGTGTTTTGTTTATGTGGCATATGCTATTATAGCAGTTTTCATAGTAAGGGTGTTTTCATAGTAAGAGAGTTTTCATAGTAATAGCAGACACTTTTACCTTCAAGATACTCTACAACCTATAATTATGGCCTTCGCCTTTACCTGGCAGAAGTTGCTCCACTTTCTGTGCAAGGGCGACCACGGCTTTCATGGTTGCGACTTTGCTCTACCCGTTCCAAGATGAGTTCATGGAGAGACTAAACTCAGAAGCTTGGTGGCATGACTGAAATTGCTTGGGGGAGATTATTTTCTGAAAAATATGTGAAAACTAAAAAGCAATTACAGTATCATTAAATGAAAGTTGCAAAATGGAGAAAGATAGTAATCTGTAATCCCTCCACCCTAGCCCGAGTATGATGGCTTTAATTTTATCCCTTTCCTATCTATCTTCATAGATACACTATATATTTTTAATTTATTATTTTAGACATAGTTCAAAACTATAGTTGTATTGGATAGGTGGTAACTACCACATTCATGCTATATGACCACTTTTTGGACAAAAGCTGATTGGATTAGGTTTGGTCACCTGATGGAAGCACAATTACACATGGAATGCTAACCTTTGGATCTACAGAGGTGGCCTGGCTTGAGAGGTCTGACTAATGGAACTCTTTGGGCCGTTTAAATGTGAGACACACAGAAAACTGGGGCAAGCAGAAATCAGTAAGCAGAAGCCACTAGTTGACAGAAGCCATGAAGCCATGGAAGTCATTAGTAAGCAGAGCCTTGAGAGAAAACAAACGGAGCTATAGACACAAAGACAGGTGCAGCACATGGCACAACAGAGCTCACAGCAGGAGCCCAGCGGTCGGTCATACTTAGGGCCACAGCATAATGGAGGTGACAGCATGAATAACCTTCAGGCCCCAAACAATGTTTATTCTCTGCATTGTTTGACTTTGCTGCCGATTCCATTATGCCCTGTCTCCTCATCTTCCCTGTGTGTCCTTAGAATAAACCAGCAAAAGAATCTAACTTTGTTCCTTGCCACCTGGAAAAGCCCGAAGTGATAATCATATGTATTACTTAAAAACGCTTAATATCGTATCATTAACATTTTAAATTTTGCTACACAGAATGGATAATTATCATTTTAATAGCCATATAGTATTCCATTGAGCAGCTATACCATTAAGTATTTAATAATTCTTCTATTTCTAGACATGTAGAATACTTCTAAAATTTGGCTGCTTTATGAACTATTTAATTGAAGATTTTTGTACAAATATATTTGGCTAGAACAGTGTTCTAAGCCAGGGAAGGTCTTTCCCCTGGGGACATTGCAGTGTCTGGAGACAGTATCTTGGTTGTTACAACTGTGTGTGTGTGGGGGGGGGGGGGGTTGGGTTGGGGGTGCGCTCCTACTGGCATCTAGTGGGTAGAGGCCAGGGTGCAACTCAGCATCCTACAATGCACAGGGCAGCCCTCTTCCCGCACCCCCACAGAACAACGAGTTACCAGGTCTGGATGTCAGCAGTGCCAAGGCTGAGAAACCCGGATCTAGACCTTAGCAAAACAGAGACGAATTTTAGAGATAACTTGGTGTTACCTGGTCTTGGTGAATCCTTGTTGGTTCTTAATCAGCACCACTTTTCAAAGGTTATATTAACATACACTTTTTTTGGCAAGAGAGAATCCTCTGATTGAATAGACATTCACCCGGACTCCCCCGCCTCGTGTAGAGTCCCCTCCCCTCTCCGGGGACCCACAGGAGTGCCCTGCTCCATGGAGACATGTCATGTGCGTTTCTGCTCTGGCAGGTCCTCTCCTATTTCCCAGGATCGCTCACATTCCTGGGGACACTTCAGTTCTGGCTTCTCTCCTCCAGTGACCTCCACCCAGCAGGAGTGACAGGGACCCTGCAGAAGGTTAGGAAGTCGTACAGAAATGTCAGTGCCAAGGGGACAGGCTCAGGAGAGCGGCCGTTTTTCCATCTTTAAATGTGCCCATTCCCACTTAGGGAGGTGTCAGTTCCCCAAATGAGCATCTCCAAAACCTTGTCATTTCTGGCTTCCAAAGAGTTCCCTTACTTCCCTATCAACTCATTCATGCATTAAAAAAAGGATGCCTTTTGCATGGAATTCATAATTTTTCAGTGTGCTGTATGGAAAAGGTTTCTTTGATCATCTCGTCTGCCATATGGCCAGAAGCAGAAGTCCAGGAGATATATATTTAAGACATGTAAGTTTGAAAAATTATAGATGGTATCGTTGGGAAAAAAAACAGGCTTAATCATTAAATCTTGAAACATTAGAATGAAGCTCTAGCAGAGTACGAAGGACAAAGACCTTTAGATACTGCTTTATAGACAAGATAGTGAGCTTATGGATTTCATTCCAGTGGGATAAGCTGGAGAAGTGTGGCCCTCAATGAATCCTGGGGAAATGAATGGAAGGCAGGTAAGGGCAGAGTTGGATGGACTTTTTAGTTGGTTGAATTACCAGACCCAAGTTATCTTAATAAATTCACAGAAACTTTGAGTGGAGTCTCCAGAGTCAGCTACTACTGGGTTCTGTCCTGTTATTTCCTATACAATAGGATTCTCTTATATATGTTTCATATGACCTGTTTCCTGTTTTATCAGTGTTATATGTGAGAGTGTTGGGGACATAAAATTAAATTTGTGCATGACCCTAAGGATAATGGTATTCACTAGTATGTTGAAGGTAGGAAAGCAATTCTTGTTCCTCCTTCTCCCTTCCCCCCACAAAAAATAACAAACAGGGAATGGATGAGTGACAAAGTAATAGGGACCAATATTCTGCATGTGGGTGGAAAAGCCTACAAAATATCCCTGTGGCTGCCGTCCAAGATGGAAAATCAGTCTGGAAAAAATAAGTAAGAAAGGACTGAAAGTGGAAGATGTGGCTTTTTGACAGCAATAGCAGTGAACAGGCCTGGGGCTCTTCATGGAGACAAAGCTCAAAGTGAGCTAAGAGTGTGATTCAATAAAAGTTAAACAAATCTTAAGCTCCATGAACAGCAGTACAGAATCCAAACATAAAGTGAGAGGCATGCCTTTCTCCATAGTTGTCAGGCCCCCTGGGTGCAGGGCTTTGCCTTCTGGGCACCCTAACAAATCAGAGTGCAGGGAGAGGAGAGTTAGCAGCACAGGAAGGAGCCATGGAAGCTTCTCTGAGTTTCAGCAAAAAGAACAGTGTTTGCTTTGGCTGAAGAGGGGGCTTGGCAGGGGGTGGCTGTGTTAGTCTGCTGGGGCTGCCATACAAAGTACCACAGTCGGGCAGCTTAAACAAAGATGTTTAGTGTCTTCTGGTCTGGAGGCTGGAAGTTCAAGGTCAAGATGTCAGCAGGGTTGGTTTCTTCTGAGACCTTTCTCCTTTCCTTATAGATGGCCTCCTTCCCCTGTGTGTGTCTGTGCCCTAATCTCTTCTTCTTTGAAGGACACCGGTCATGCTGGATTAGAGTCAACCTATGTGACTTTATTTTAATTTAATTGCCTCTTTACAGACCCTATCTGCAAATACAGTCACATTTTGAAGTACGGGGGGTGGGGCACAATTCAGACTATAACAGTCCCTGAATCTTGCCTCCTCACGTGGAAAAGGAAATAGATTTCTCTTTTGAAATTCCTGCAGACAATGCAAAGACCACTGTGTGGGAGTTATTAGGAATACCGATTCTGGCTCAATATAAGGAAAAGCTTTGCCTTAGAAAGGACGGTGTCAAAGATGGTCAAAGAGTGTGGGGGCGGGAGTGACAAGGGGAGGGGGATAAAGACACATATGTAATACCTTACTCAATAAAGAAAAAAAAAGATGGTCAAAGAGAAAGTAGTCTCTTGCTGGAAATGCTGTATAGAGAAGAGGCAGACTAGATGATCCCTTAAGATGGATCCATCAGCCCGAGTGGCGCTGGGCAGGCTGAAGAGTATAGCTCATAGCTGTCAAATGGATTATATAAGACTAAAGTTTTGAAGATAATTTTTAGTCTTTTAAGAGTATATGTGCACGATTACATTCATTTTCACACTGGTCAGGACTTCCTCCTGGTGTCCTCAGTCGGACTTGACCCACCGCAGTGGCTTGACTCACCCAGCTCGAAAGCCCACTTCCAGATCTCAGCTCTTCAGAGTTTGTCCAGCCCCTCCGTGGGAAAGTGGGCCGTGCCCAGCCTTATCTAAAGACAGGCCATTAATGGCTGTCACTATCCTGGCTTCAGAGACCATGATGTTTCCCTGGAAAAGTACTTCCCTGCTAAATTGTGAAGACAGATGCTACTACTTTACCCAGTATTGGACCATTACTTTCCTTGAATCTGGCATATAATGGGTTTTTCCTCCTACACAAATCTCTCTTGGCCTCTTGGTTGCCCTTAATATGCAAAATTTATGGTTTTTCCCCAGCTTCCAGCCAAGGAGGTCACAGAAGGCTTAAAAACGGATGGAACAGGCCTTGCTTATCACATAGTTATTTCCATTTGAATTTCGTCTTGCCATAGTGCT